TCAGGGCCGCATCTTTAACTTCGCCGCGGGACCGGCCACCCTTCCGGAGTCCGTGATCCTGAAGGCCCAGTCGGAGCTGTACAACTACCATGGCTCCGGCATGAGTATTATGGAGATGAGCCACCGCGGCAAGGAGTTCGATGCCGTCATCAAGAACGCTGAGTCCGACCTCCGCCGCCTCCTCGCCGTCCCTGACGACTACGCCGTCCTCTTCCTCCAGGGCGGCGCCACCACCCAGTTTGCCGCCGTTCCCCTCAACCTCTGCGCACCCGACGATGCTGCGGACTACATCGTCACCGGATCGTGGGGCGACAAGGCCTTCAAAGAAGCCCAGAAGTTCTGCAAGCCTAATCTCATCTGGTCTGGTAAATCTGACAAATACACCAAGATCCCGCCTTTTGAAGGCCTCGAGCAGAACCCCAACGCCAAGTACCTGCACATTTGCGCCAACGAGACGATCCACGGGGTGGAGTTCAAGAACTACCCCACGCCAAGCAATAAAGATGCAATCATGGTGGCCGATATGTCATCCAATTTCTGCTCGAAGCCCGTTGACGTATCGAAGTTCGGCGTGATCTATGCTGGCGCGCAGAAGAACGTCGGTCCGTCCGGTGTCACGATCGTGATAGTCCGAAAAGATCTTATTGGCAACGCCCAACCGATCACACCCGTGATGCTGGACTACAAAATCCATGCCGATAGCGCTTCCCTCTACAACACTCCCCCATGCTTCACGATCTACATTTGTGGACTTGTGTTTGCGGACTTGCTGGAGCAGGGTGGCTTGGTAGAGGTGGAGAAGAAGAATGCCAAGAAGGCAGGAATTCTCTATGATGCTATTGATGGGAGTGACGGGTTCTATGTGTGCCCGGTTGAGAAATCAGTTAGATCACTGATGAACGTGCCGTTTACACTTGAGAAGACAGATCTTGAGAAGAAATTCATCGAGGAGGCTGCCAAAGAAGGGATGATTCAACTCAAGGGTCATCGCTCAGTGGGTGGTGTTCGGGCTTCCATATACAATGCAATGCCGTTGGCAGGAGTGGAGAAGCTTGTTGCTTTCATGAAGGATTTCCAAGCCAGGCACCTTTGAACTGGATGCCTTAAAACCTTATTGTCGTGAATGAGGCTTTTTTCTGCTGTTTGTTGGCTGTTTTCAGATGCATCAAGCTCAAATCTTAGTTTGGTTTTGTCATTTTTCTTCTGGTCAAGTTCTAGAAATAATGGCATTTAATCAGTTATGGATTTGGATAAAATATAGATACTTTAGGCAGCTGCATATCATGACTCATCTACTCAGTCCTAATGGTACTGGAGTTTTTGTGTGGAAATTGCTTGTTTGTGAAATCAGGTGATATTTCTGCCTGCTGATTTTGTTCACATGGGAGCACCTTGTGCTGTTTTCTGATTTTAACCTCAAGGTATGTTGCATGGGCTTACTACATTGTTCAGACTTGAATGCTGTGGAGAGATTCAATCAAAATTGCCTGCCTGTACTAGTTGGATTTATCCTTGCAGGAACTATATTTTTAGTTTGGAGGTTTTGTAGCATTGCATTTGCAAATTGCTTCCATTATATGCAACTATGAGCTTTTCTAAATAATTGCATTTTTAATTCAAATTTTTGCCGATAATGTGATGCATTAATTATCACCTCTTTATCTGAATCTTAATCATTATCTAGCATTAGAATTGCATTGTAATTTATTTATTCTAGGCTTGAGTTAAAAGTTGCTAGTATGAAGCATAGAGTTCGTTTTGTGTAGATTGATGAATAATGCAGTTACTACATTACTAGATGTTGCTGTTCATTGCAGTCTGCACCTTGGGATTTTCTGAAAAAGCCGCTTGTCTCACTGATTCTGCAGTTTTTCTTGTCACCCTCTACCTTTCCTTACATCACTAATCCTAGTGGCTCATCTTGTTTATCTGCAACATCTATAGATGTCCTTGTGGATGCCCTGACCCAAAAGGAAAGAAAAACTTTGGCATGTAAGATGGTCAATGTATGCTTCTGCTTCTCCTTTGTTATGGTGCTAAATCTGTTTGTCAATGAGATTCTAGAGCTCAATTGCTGAAATATTGTCTTTGAGACAAATGGTCTTACTTCTATCTTTTTGATCAATGCAGGTTCCTGCCTATCATTTTGGATTTAATCAGGATGACCATTGATATATTACTTTTTCCTTTTTAAATGCTTGAAGGATAGAAAGCTTAATTGTTTTGTTCTTGTTTTCTCTCTTGACATTGTGTACTCATTCATAGATATTATAGTTCTGCTTTATTAGTTGCAAGAGGGTTATTTTTGTTGGAAGTATTTGATCTGCATCAGGTGGTATGGTCTGTTAAACATGGAATCCACTCATATAAATGATGTCCCTCTCCAGTGCTTGCCCGTAGTATCCCTCTGAATGAGTTTCTTTTTCTAGTTTATGGATGTATTTTGGACAAATAAGTTGGAGATATCTGAATCATACTTCTGCTTATGTAACTCATGGCTTGTTTGTTTCCTCCCGACTAGGCAGTGCTATATTTTTCTTTACAGAGACACTCTTGTGCAAGATGGCAGATCTTGTTATATCATATGTTCTTGAATGTTCTATATCAAACACACTGGCACCACACTGTTAGATACAGCTGACAAATATGGCTTGAGAAGGCTTCAACTTCGGTATGAGGCTCATTTATTTAAAGAAATATCTGTCAATTCGGTGGCCAGCACTCTCGCATTGACTGATCACTGTCATGCTATGGAACTGAAGGCTTCTTGTCTTAAAATTGCAGCAGAAAATATTTCAGGTATTTAACTTCTCTTTTTTAGGGCACTTCTTTCATTTATAATTCTGCTGGATTAATAGTTAATAGAGTATGCCTTTCTCCATTCATTTTGTTTATGAATTCTTCCCAAAGATTTTATATATATATATATATATATATATATATATATATATATATATATCAATGATTTTAATTTCAGATGGTACGTACCGGTTCGTCAACAGATCGGTATGTTGACCGCTCGCTATCGAGCGGTGGCGTCGATTGAGATTGTTTCCGCTCCATTATCACCCTAAATTGATATCTGTATTAGCAGAGAGAGAAGAAAGAGAAGAGGGAGAAAAAAAGAGAAAACTTGAAGATCCAATGTCGCTCTCCCTCGACGATCTCGATTCGTTGATACCCTCCCTTGTTCGATGTCGCAGATGATGTCGCCTCCTTGTCTGAGGCGACGAGGCCCCGGCGACTTCTCCTCATTCGCGCGGGGAGAGAAGAAGCCTCGGTGATGTCGCGGGGAGAAGCGATTTCTTCTTCCCATGCAGGTAGAAGGAACAAGGTGTTTTTTTTTTTTACTTTTTTGCGTAGGGAGAAGGAACCCTCAACGCGAGCAGAAACCGAGTGACATCACTTTTTTTTTTTTTTTTGTGTGGAGAGAAGAAACGGTTTTTTCTCCCCACGCGGGCAGAAACCGAGGCGACGTCACCTTTCTCCTTTTTTTTTCGCATGGGGAAATCGGGCGACGTCGCCTTTCTCTCTTTTTTTTTCACGTGGGGAAACCGGGGTGACGTTGCCTTTCTCCTTTTTTTTTTCATGGAAAAACCGGGCAACATTGCCTTTCTCTTTTTTTTTTCGCGTAGGGAGAAAGAAACAGTTTCTTCTCCCCACATGGGCAGAAATCGAGTGACGTCGTATTTCTTTTTTTTTTTTTTCCCGCGGGGAGAATGAAACCTCCTCCTCACACGAGCAGAGCGCGGGGAGTATCAAGGTGACATAGTTATATATATATATATATATATATATATATATATATATATATATATATATATATATATATACTAAGTAATATACCGAAATGTACCGCTCGGTATAGTTATATCGTACTGTGCCAAAATAAGTTTAAAACTTTGGTTTGAAACTTTGGTTTGAAACTTCTACATCCATGAATCCAAATTACAAATCCATCACTACAGCTTGTTATATAATAACTTCACATCACATAATTCTACCCAAAAATATTATAATTATACTTCACATTCCAGAATGAAATCTGCAATTGTGGTTAACAGGCATGATACTTGCCGTAGTGGATCCTGGAACAAAGTAGCATGTTCATTTGTCTGACAAGATTATAGTTACCTGAAAAGACTCTTAACCTATGATGTGTTCAAGTTTGTTCTTGGAATGTTTTTTCTTTCCTTCGTGAAGGTTTACTGTACCTGTACATAACGGGAGTTTGGTTTCATAGTGCTGCAACCTGCAAAAGTTGATGCTTCACTGTTTCCTGTGTTTGTGGTTATGCTTCATCGTTTCTGGTCAGTACACTCCAATTGTGTTTTCTTACATGTGTTTATGCTTTTGGTTGACAATAAAAGCCTCAAATATCGGAAAATGAGTATTATATGTTAACATTTTTAAGGAAAACTAAGGGAATGAAGCCTCTACTTGTGAGTAAAAAAAAATATTTTTATTGTTTATATAAAATTATATAAGAATATATTCTTGTTAAATTTTGATTAGGTGATGATGTATTTGATCTATTTGCCAAAGTTAGAGTACAAAATTTTAACAGTTTATTATAAGATCTTAAATTTGAATCTCATATTCATCATTTATTTTTATTAAAAATATATTCTTAATTGCTAGGGTTAAGAGAAGGTAAAAAAAAATATTTCATATCCAAGTGGATAGAATATCAATTTATCTCAAAGGTTTATATTTGACTTTATTAATTAGAAAATTATATTATTCTTCATTAGTTTGTATCTGTTCATTTATTCTAATTATTCATATAAAAATACAACTGATATATTTGAAATAAAATGATTATGTTGAGCGGGACCCACAAGATTCTGACGTCACGACAGCCGTATCCACGGAATCAACTCTTGGACGCCGCACGACGTAACACGAAACCAGTGGCTACAGTATGGCGCTCCGCTGTCAATTCGCGGACAGCTGATCCAGTCGTCTGTGGCCGTCGAGACATGACGGATGACAGCCTGGCAAGGAGCTCGAGAATAATTCATTCCCGGCGGGATCCTTATTCCTGGGGCGAACTCCGAGGCCAATCAGATCCCAGAGGCGATTGCCAGAGACACTATCGTGGTTTTCTTCTCAAGGTGAGAACTTCGAGATAGGAGGTTTAACTATAATTCGATGTTGGTGTGATTTTGAAAAATCGTCAATTTTTCTATATTTTATCTTTTTTTGGTCCAGAAAAGGAGGAGCGCGATTGGATCCCGGTGTTTCTACTGGGTGAGAATCGATTTAAATCGGAGAGATCGCCTTCCAGTTGCGCTAAAGATCTGTTCTTGGCCGTTGTCCAATTGTTGGATCGAATTGATTCAGAAAACCGCTACCCCGTGCGAATTGAACTCTCTTGTGTGTAATTTTTCTCTTTTCTGATAAGATTTGAGGTTCTAAATCGATCGCCAGACAAATTCTCGGTTGAATTTAAGCTAAATTGGCTTTTAGGGGATCAATTTGAAGGAAATTAAGAGAGCAAAGGCGCCTTGGGAAATGGACGACAGGCGCGGAACACAATTCTCGATCCACCAGGCCTTTTCTACAGAGATCTGAGCTCCTTGGAAGTGTTCTGTTCTGATCACCACTGTTCTACAACTACTGGCGAGAGATAAGAGCGCAATGGGGAAAGGGGGAGGTTGTGTTCCAAGCAAGAAGCGGCAGCCGGCGGTGGTCTCCAATAGTGCGGCCGCCGTCCCGACGGATGCTCCCGTTCCGACCGAGGAGAGGAGCCGAAGCAGCGCCGAGTTCGTCGAAGCCATTGCGCGGCCACCGGCCAACCTCAAGCTCAAGGTCTTCATCGTGTTCTACTCCATGTACGGACACATCGAGGGCCTGGCGAGGCGGATGAAGATTGGGGTGGACGGCATTGAAGATGTCGAAGGTGTCCTGTACCGCGTCCCTGAGACACTTCCACCGGAGGTCCTGGAGCAGATGAAGGCTCCGCCGAAGGACCCGGCGATTCCCGAGATTTCCGCTGCGGAACTGGTTGAGGCAGATGGGATACTGTTTGGGTTCCCGACGAGGTTCGGGAGCATGGCCGCGCAGATGAAGGCGTTCTTTGATTCCACAGGGCAGCTCTGGAGGGAGCAGAAGCTCGCTGGAAAGCCGGCCGGGTTTTTCGTGAGCACCGGGACTCAAGGGGGAGGGCAGGAAACTACTGCGTAAGAGTCTTTCTGCCATTAATATTCTGATTCATATGCCTTTCCTTCTCATTTTCGTATAACTAAGAGATCAGAGTACTAAGAACAACATCTTCATTATCTAGGAAAAAAGGTCAATTTATCTTTTAGTTTTGCATAACCGGAACGGATCAAGTACTAAAGGTGTCACAATAGAGGTAAGAAAACTAAGACCCAATTGGGAACAAATGAAAAATAGCTTGGAATATCAGATTTAAAAATGGTTTGCTTGTTATTGTTGTCATCGTCGTTAATTCACTGCAGATAAAAAATATGTACTTCTTTGATATCTTTACTGTTTATGTTCATAAAGCATCTTCTTGTTTATATGTTCCTACTCATATTTTTGTTTTTGCCTCTCAGTGAATCAAATGAAATAAAAAAAACAATAACCAAAGTGTTTCTTTATCTTTTATTCTCGTGTTTTGTCATCGTTTGATTTCATCTGGTACCTTTGTCTAAGACCCCATTCATACACATTATTGTTTCATGTTCCAAGTGTTGATCTTATTAGCCTGTTATCCATTATAGAACAGTTGTAAGTAAGGTAAGAAAGAATCGAAAACCCATTCATACACAGTATCTTTTCTTTTTCCAAGTGTTGATGTCATTAGCCTTTGTTCCATTGAACAGAAGTTTAAGGGAAGGTAAGAAAGAATAGGAGAGGTTGACAGAATGAATGGCACTTGCTAGCATGTTCAATCATTCTTCTATGATGAATGCTATGAGTCGCCATGTCTGCAAGGCTCATGGTTGGCCTTGTGCATACTTCATTCTTTCATACGTAAATAAGCATCATTTTGTTATATGCTAATAAGATTTTATGCTTAGTTTTTAGTACTCGACCAAAATGGTACCTTCCTTTTACCTTCTTTTTTTTGGAAGAAAAAGATCATTTTTCCTTTCCAATTCTATTGATCATTTTCATTTAATAGATTAACCAAAAATAAGATGGACAGATCTTTTTTGGAAACCTACTTTCTCCTTTACAATCATGAGATCTTCTTGGCTTTAGGTTGTACCATCCTTGTTCATGAAATGCATCAGCAAATTTCAAGAGAGTATTGATAAATTCTCAATTTTTTTGGTCTTACACTTAGATAAATTGAAGTGACAGCAACACATCAAGTTAATGGTAAGGAACAGACAAGTTAAGATTTGCTTAATATTTTAAGGATATTCATTGTCCTTCGATGTTACAATCTCTTATAAACGTCACTAGTGTGACACAACCATGTCAGTATTGAAACTGTTAACTTTAGCAGCTTCTAAACGGATGCACGTTTGTGTATGCAATTCCCACATCATATGGAGCAGGCAATCTCTGCGCATTCTCTTTTAAAAATACATGAAACCTTGAAGGTGCAGTGACTGGTAACTTTGTGGCATTTGGTAGTGCAGGTTCTTTTCTGTTTCTTATGCGATTCTCCAGATTAACACAATCTTGAGCAGATATACATGTCTACTACAATTAGTTCAGAAACACATGGTCTGATCTTTCATCTGCTTTGAATTATTTGTTAGATGACACAGTTTGCCAAACTTGAGGAGCTCATTAAATTTCTTCATTGATAAACAAGTTGATGCTGTTAATTCGGTTTTGTTATTGTTTTATGTTCCAGCTGGACTGCCATTACCCAACTAGTGCACCATGGAATGATCTTTGTTCCCATTGGATACACATTTGGAGCTGGGATGTTCAAGATGGATGAGATTAGAGGTGGTTCCCCATATGGTGCTGGAGTTTTCGCGGGTGATGGCACAAGAGAACCTGGTGATATGGAGCTTGCTCTTGCTGAGCACCAGGGAAAGTATATGGCTAATGTAGTCAAGAGGTTGGCACACTAATGATTAATCATGCTCATGAGCAAACTAATTGTCTCAGTAATGAATTCATGTGTATCTTCTGGCTAATTCCTTTTTCTCCAAACCCTCATTGCCGCATTTTTTTCATCTCTCACCCTAAATTTGTCCAATCTTGGTTGTGCATTTCCTTGGTCCTTTTTTTTTGTTGGTAGTGTATATCTGAAGTGATGAGTGTATGATAGTTCTGTCCTCGGAATGATAATTTGACATTTGAGTTGCTGTATTCACAGTCTATTTTTTTTCGGTATGTCCAGATTCTGGATTTGGTTGTGTTGCAGAGTCTTCAGTTGCTGTTAGGACAAATGTGTCTCTCTCTTGTTTAGTTTGGTCCATATGAGATCCTTATGGCACCATTGGCCATTGCATCATCTCTGAGCTTAAGTTCCCAGAGTTGATTTAATTGTTGTACTTTAATATGATATACAAAAGTGAATCTGAAAATGACATGGAAATTGTAGCAGATGAGGAACTCCTCCTTTTTCAACTCTTTGCACTGAAAACTAATAATATTTTCAGATTGAGCATATTATTTTTATAGAGTTAATTGGTGTAAAGGATCCACTCCAAATAATTGGAATATTATAACTTCTTGTTATTATATGTAAACAAGAAGAAAGAGTCGTCCTTTTTTTCTTCTTTTTATTAGTAATCAAAATTTCAAATTGATGTTGATTTGTCATGCTCGCCTTAATTAAATAAAGGAAAAAAGTAAGACAACATTTGATTGATAAAGAGTTCTGCCAAGGAGATCATCACAAGAGACTGGAAATATTTACAAACTAATTAAAGTTTTAGAGAACACAACATATAATCCTGTGAAAAAACTACAACACAGAACTTATAATCCCAAATTTTGCATCATTCTTATTTGGATAAAAAAATTCTTTTCAGTGCTCTCTCTCTCTCTCTCTCTCTCTCTCTCTCTCTCTCTCTCTCTCTCTCTCTCTCTCTCTCTATTTAGCATAATTTGTAGTTTTTAAAGTGAAACTTCAACAAATCCATCTCCCCACAACACATCTTAAAAAAAAAAGGGAAAAAAAGAATATGTGAAGGTTTTCCAAAACAAGAAAATATTAAAAATAAAAATATCCAAAATGAAAAGAAAAAGGGACACATTTTTTAACACTCAAAAAGAATTGCACCACATAACTGCGCATTCTGCATTCCTTTTCTTCTTTTGCTGGAAAAAATAAAAGAAGAAAGAAAAGGTAAATTCCTCAACCTTGGTGCTGCTGCAACAGGAAGAGGAACTCAGGGTTCTCCCGGAGAAGCGGCGGCGGCGGCTCCTCCAAGTCGGTGAGGCTGATGTCGAGCCCTGATCGCGATATGTCGTCCAGAGAGAATGGTATGCTGCCATCGTAGTTGTAACTTTCGTTTCAATTTTAGATACAAGTTGAATCAATCGATGTCTAGTACATGATACCACCATCAAAAGGCTGTCTTTTTCTCTTTCTATTATGTTGAACATAAAGGGATTATGCTGCTCTTACCTCGAGTCATCATCCAACAAGAAGGAATTGTTTGGCATGGTGATGGAGTCGTCGGTCATCATAGTTCTCATGTTGGCAATGACCTGAAATCAAAAGATTAAATAGGTTGATTATATAGGAAAAATATTATGTTTGCCTGCGAACTTGAGTTGGTCGAAGAGGTATCAACAGGTTTAATTTTTTTTTCGTTTGTTTTCGAAGGGTGCAAGAGGAGATATTTATAATGAGAAGGAAGTGGGATGATTATACTCACATCCTGAGATACACCATGTGTACCATACTTGTCATCCCAAAACATAGTTCCGATCCGATAGATTTGAGGAACACTCAATACCTGGAACGAACGCAATTGATCTTATTATATTGTGAAAACCAATAGTTTTTGTCCCCAGGATTTCGCTTCCGACTTACCGGGCAGATCTCATTCGTGATCTCCACCAAGGATTTGTTGGGTTTCTGGTGCAAAACCTGCATAAAACAGTGTGTTTTGGTTACCTGTCTGGTATTTACTATCGGTAGTTGACAATGGTTATGATATCACACTTACCAAGAATCCGACTGCCTGTCTTATATGTTGGAGCTCATCCCATGAGGTCCCAGCAAACTGCAAGTAGATAGTTGCTATTAGCGCTGTATTAGAATTCCCATCTACCACTGTTTATTTGTTCTTTTGTGCATTTGTGGCAGCAGCAGTGACTCTGCTTGATGCTTGTCATACTGACTGACCTGGTCTGTTGTTTTGGAGCACCATTGTTCCAACTCCTGCAAGCCAGCCTTGACAAATTCTGCATTGCTAAATGAACAGCATTCTCGGCGGAGTAGCAAGCTGTACGTCAGTTACATTATGTTCATATGAGATGCAAATCTTGATCTATTTTTATCAAACCACAGTACTCAAACCTGTTCATCTAGCCACTGTAAATAATGCATAATAGAGAAGATGGGGAATGGTACCTATTAAATAATTGTACATTGATGAATGCAAACACTTGGCTGAAAGTCTTCCTTATTATCATAGAAGGCACCTGTGACAATTATGTTGAAAATATTATGAAATAGTGCATATCTTATAGTTTTAACCCATTGATGAAGTGTTTAAAAAAGGTGAAAGGCCAGCTTACATAGTTTTCACAGAATGTATTCAATAAACAATCCATACTTTTGACAATGCTTTGCCAGTGAATGCTTGATGCTTGCTTTGCTACAATACCGGAAAGAATGCTCTTAGATGATCCTCGAATTGATCTAGCTCTGGCAGACCTTGGCGCCTGCAGATAAGGATTTTTACAACTTCATTTAACAGCAGACACTAGATGATACTGATCACTATTATGCACCTGCTCCTGGGGCAAACCTGTATGCACAAAGTTAAGAATGGACTGATCTCTTTTTTCAGACTGTCTCGTATCATTCCATAAATTTTCTCAACATAGGCTGTTAGTTGTTGCTTAAAAAGTATCGCTGGATACTTAGCTTCCATCCTGGATTGGTCTTCAGACTTGCCTACCATTCCACTGTAGCCACTCGAAATGCCCATTCCAGATGAAGATGAACGGGTGCTCTGAAATTATATTTTGACCAACAATATAAACATTGAAAATGGTAAGGAATCACATAAAAACTACTGATGTTTTATCAGACATCTTTTGAGAATAGGTCTATCTTCAGTCAATTTAAAAGAAAAATGGAAATATGATATTTCCAAATCTACCAATTCCTTATTTGGGTAGGCTTAAGATTAAGTGCTGGTAGTGTTAGATAATAACACCAATTGTGACTGAATAGCCAAAGAGTCAATTGCATACTATGTTCATTACTGTGGTTCTCAGAAACATATCTAACTTCTGTATCAATTTTCTTACCCATGCCAATCTACTGAACAATGTGACTGCTGTTGCTCGACTGCGGTGTGATCCTGTATTTGATGCATTGCTTGCTTTAAGAGTCCTTTGTAAAAGAAATAGAAGGGTAGATGTTGTTGAAAGCCAATATGCAAGTTCACCAACATTCTCCTGGTTCTGTGCATAGAAAAAAAATAGTTACATAAAAGAGTTCCTTGTCTGTAAGGAGAAGAAATTTTGTGGGAGTTCCAAATGATTAAGTCAGATCACAACCTCAATGGACGACCTGATTGTTTGAATGATCCGATCGAAAATGTTTGTCTTCTCTGCTTCAAATGAGTGCCATTGAAGCAATGATTGGTAGACAATACATGCTGCTGCAGGTCTCTTCTTGTCAAACCTCTTATATTCCATGAGACATTTGACAAGTGCATCATGATTTTCCTGTAAGTATAAAGCAGTAAATCATGTAATCAGAGAATGGAAAAAGAGTAATATCTGAGAAAGCATGGTTCCTTTTAGATATGGCTGAAATGAAATTATTAAGGATTTAGGCACTCCATATGTCCTATGGTACCTCTCAACTACTGGAACAAAACACACAGTGTAGTACAATAAGGACCACACAGAATTGTTCTTGCGCGAAGCATGTGCCCTTGTTTTGTATAGGGCCATAACACATCGTTCGTATCTATGCCTCCTATATGCTTCCTTTAAGTAAATTACTGTTACATCTACAAGTTTAACTGTCATCGCTGTCATGCTAAATTTAGATTTCTATTACATACTTGTCGTCGATCAGTTAGAGACTTCTGTTTGCTTAAATCTGGTGCAAGGGGTGTGGCTTCTGGTTCCTGCAAGTTGAAGTATGTCATTTGGTGAAATTTCTGATTTAGATTCCAGTTTATTACCTTTATAATCATGAAATACTTCAGTAGATATCTGACAAACCTTTTTGCTTAAATTAGGTTCTCCATCTGTATGTCCATTCTCAAGGTTCTGCATCATTAAATCATTACTTACAATTTGAACCAATTACTAAAATTTTGCATAGAATGCTGATTAGTATACCTTGATTGGCTGTGGTTTAATTAGTTCAGAAGTGACTGATGGTTGATAAACTACCACAGGCTGATCACGGAGCAACTGATTCTCTGACTCCAATGTGCTGATCTTGTTTTCAAGGCTGGAGGATAATTGCAATACATAAGTCAAGCTCATTAGGAATACATTTTAGAGGTAAAACTTCAGTGCCTAAGCTAAGGCATGTGTTTTCCCATTTCAGATGTACCTTTTAATTTGTTCTGAGAAGTCTTCATTTGTTGAAGCAATTAAAGCTTGCTGCCTTAGAACCTTGTTTTCAGATTCTAGGCCAGACAAATTTGTTTCAAGTCTGCATGATCATGTAGCTAATTAGTGGCATCCTGCAAACTGCATTTTGATTTTGGTGCATTTCTGTTGATCCAAACAGCAGGACGAGAAGATACTCTCATGTTTTACCTCCCTATCATCTCTTGCAGTTGATTTAGTTTTGAGTTGGACTCCTCTGTGTCTTTTAGTAGTTCTTCCACCTTTTGTTGGACCTCAGTATATCTTCCCTCGAATTCCTCAGCCTTAGTCTTGAATATACTTAATTCATCCTGTAAAAGATCAAACAATTTATTGCTAACAAGAGAACATGTTCTGTGCTACTTGTCAGAATGTGACATGCTTCAACTCAGATGACCTAAAGCATTGCTTTGTTTTATTCCTTCAAGTTCATTCAGGTATATCTAGATTAGGTTATTTGAGTAGCAATACGGAAACTTGATGTGTTATTTACCTCTAGTTCTTTATTGCGACTTGTCAACAAGTCTAGCTTGGTGTTGTCTGTTACCGGAACCTCTTTAATGACTGGTGGTGCTTGTTCAATTGCTACTCTAGCAACTTCTTTTTCTCTGATGATTGCTTCATGGGCTTCATCAAGCTTCTCCTGCATTTCTTGTAATGCAGTTTGTAACTTTGCAATCTCTTGCTGTTTGGCTTCTTCTAGGTCAATCTATATAATAAGGTAGAAATATCCTTCATTCTATTATTATACGAGTATGCTGCAGATAATGTCTACTTAAGATGATTGCATACCCTCATATGTTTTTCAACTTCTAATCTCCAAGTGAGTTCTTCGACTTTCTTTTCTAGCTTGTCCTTGGCCTCTTTGAGTGCTCCCGTCTCTCTTGCAGCCTATATACATATGTTGTCATTATATGTGCTTCCATTTTCAAAAAGTCTAAGCATCACAACTTAACAATTAAAGTTGTCATGAGATAACTACATATTAAATATCTAAGGGCAGCATACCATTCTTAACTTTCGAAGTTCCTTTCTCCCAATACGTCCTCTCCAGAGGCACTGAAGTATCAAAGTTGCCTTCTTTTGCTGTTTGTAGGCAGAAAGAGCTTTATATAGACGCCATTGCGTCTGCAGGTCATAGGTTTATTAGACTTCTCGTCAGTTCACGCATTACTTTTCACAAAATAGTCAGCATTTCCCGCCCTGTAGTTAATTACTTACTTGTATGATAATAGCAGCCCTGGTTCTCCTTTTATGTCTGTAGTCATTACAAGCAGCCATAGCTCGAAGTCCTGTTTGTATAACTATTGCAGATGACCTTAGGTTTGTATAAGATTTTCTAGCCGCATAAGAACGCGCATATTTCTGTATGCGGATTGAGGCATGTTCTCTCCTCATGCTTTCATATAGCTTTCGTGCAAGACGTGCTGCAGTAAATAAAAATACATCAAGTTATCTATTAAACTAATTTGCTATACTACAAAGGCAGTCATAGCAACAAACCTCTCCACATCTTTTGCATTTGAATTGAGGCTTTGCGAAGTATGAGGAATTCTCTTCGAGCAAGATATGTACGTATTAGCCTCTGGATAAGTCTTGCAGCATTAGCCAAGACTTCCATTCGTCTGGCATCTAACTCAGCCATCTGACCAGCTCTGAGGAACACCTTTGTCTTTCCAATCTAACATCAAGATATGCAACTTGTGTTTGGAATATATAACTCATAGTTCTTAAGATATTTTCTACCTATGCTATAAATTTTCTTGGTTTCTTGTTTATTTAGTGAATGCACCTGATAGCCTTGCAAGCCCATCCTGTCACATATAGCTGCACATGCTGTTTTTTCGTCGGAGCTGCATGATCTAGTATGAAATCAGTATATTCAGTCACAACATCCATGGTTTCATGCACATAAGAGAAGCTGAGTTCAATTTCTTATCGAGAAGTTTTGTACCCATCTATAAGATCTGGTTCAAGAATTCCAAAACGATCAACGAATTCATCAAATGTCCTCTTTGTTGGATAGCCGGCACAGCTGATCCTGATTGCCTCTAACACACCCTAGATTTGGAGCAGAGAAGTGGTGAGACATGTTACGGGTGCATTTCAATCCACATAGTTTCCTATAAATTACTATAAAATTCCAGTGCAAATGTGCTACTGACCCCACATCTCAATTGGTTGAGTACATTGACGTTTTCAAAGATGCCTGGTTTTAAGACTGAGTTGGGCTTCACACATCTGATGTAATGTGGCTCTGTTGTGCTCAAAGTTTCCATTAGTGATTGAAGTTGTTGCTGCAAAATTCACCTACAGAACTATCAGAAATTTGAAAGACACTTGGACAGATGAATTTCAAATCTATATCACCTGCACACCTTGAAACGAGTACCTATTGAGGAGAACTTGGACTGTTTTGAAGTTTCCTCAGCTAATGGCAGAAAGAGATTTGCCACAAAGGGACACTTTGAAGCATTTAATAGAGCTTGATGTTCTGCAACGACATAGTCTTTGTTCTTGTCAAGGAATTGATCAGCTTGGTAAGTAACCTGTTAGTAACCAACTTGTTCTTTTAGTTCCATACACAGCACAAGTGATCTTTAGAGTTACTTATCTCATGATTATCATCTTTTTCTTTTCCTTACATCTCCAGCATAATGGTTGATGGTGAATGCAGTGCGAGCAAGTTTTGGCTTGCTAAAACGTTTGTGACTTTTGTATGTTTGGTACATCTTCTGAGCAAATGTTTCATGAGTCGATTTTGGAAACATGCTGCAATATAGTTTATTTGAATCAATATCCATCATATGATGTACTGAAACATTAAATTGTAACAGAAAAAGAAATATTTTTTACTGGTTGCTACACGAGAGTTAAACTCCTAACACTTATATTCTCATAAATTTCATCTTGATTTTTTATGTAAGAATAATATATTCATCTTATGGTGACATTTTTTGTGCACAGAGAACTCTCTGCACAAAAAGAAGGAAACAGATGTACCATGCTTCATCAAGTAGCGCAATTATTCCTCCTGGTTTCTGCATTCAAACGATAAGAATCAGTAAGCAATATTTTGTTTCTTCACTATTAGTGCAACATATTTAGTAGCTACTATAGATTTTGTGTTGATATGCACCTTTTCTATGAGATCTAGGACATCTTGGTTATCCACAAATTCTACATAACTCCAATTAATTTCTTCCCTTGTATACTCTTCTTGCTCCATCTTGAATACATGCTGTAATTTTCGTAATTAGTATTAATAACGATGCTGTCTTCATTAATCAAAGCATTAGAAGAAATGCAATTTGTACATACTTGATTGAAATGCTGTTGCAATTTCTCATTTGTTAAGTTGATACATAGTTGCTCAAAACTGCCGGACAATTTGATTTCCGGGTAAGATTGATGTTAGATATAACAATCTTCATCATATAATTGATGCACTTTTATCTGGAAAATTATTTGGTAGCTTACCTGTTAATCTTGAAGCTTTCGAAACCATATATATCAAGCACTCCAATAATGTTCTTTGCAGATTGATCCTGGCCGATTGAACTATTGATCTTGTCCACTATCCTGCAATGATATTATGGAACATGGTTTTCACCACAAATGCATTGCTGATGATTAATCAAAACCAATAAAATCTCTGACAGCCAGAAATGTAGAGTCGAACTGTCTTTAATTAATCATTGTCATAATCAAGTTTGTCTGCAAGACAACTCAAGCTAAAATAGCTGAAACTAAGCATGCAAATTCTAGAATAAATATATATGAACATTGGATCATATTCAGTCATACCAGTCAAATAACCTCGAGTATACTGTCTTTGCTAAGGCATCACGGCTTAGTGCAGCAGACTCTGGATCGAGAGGCTTTGTGATGTTGCCATCCGGTGTAACAATCACACGCTTACAAAGAGAATCCTCAAGTGATTTACCATCACACCTGAGAGAACAATCATCTTTAACACATGCAAAAGAAGGGACATAAAACCATTGAGAAATATTTTTATGCACAAGATTCTTGTGTCACACATTAGCAACTCTGCAGCTGTTTCAAGATGGTAGACTGATTTCTCATCTTTCAACTTCGAGGAATCAGTTTCTTTCCCTTTGTCAAAATTTATGTTCCCCAGGTGAAGAATTGCAGCTACTACACGAAAGATAGCTTCCTGCATTTTGGGACATCTTATGCTTATTCAGATATCATAATATTGTTTGATCAATCCAAGTCCACAACTCAGATGTTAACCTGCTCTTCCTGACTGATTCCAACAACATCCATAGCATTTCTGGTCTCCAGGTATTCCCTTGCGTCATCCACATTTGCTACTTCATAACAGTTTGTTTGGTTTAGGTAATGGAATGTTCTTGGATCAGCCACCTTGAACTTTTTCACATCCTGAAAGCAGAAAACAATGGAACTAACCTTCTTAGATGATCATAGAATTACTTTCTTGGTAACTTACCGTTGAGACAAATAGAACACTACATGTAACGTTTTTGCAATTAAGATCAGCTACCCAAAGAAAAGTTGGAAAATAAGCAACGATATACAAGTACCTCTGGTGGTGCAGCACACAGCATATAAAAACAATGGTAGTTCCTTTCCGGGTCAGATACTTGACAAACTCGGGAGCGCTCAAGAAGATATGTACGGACTGCAGCTCCAGAAATCTTCCCATACTTATCAAATTGGATCTCGACAAACTTACCGAACCGACTGGAAAAAATGTTTGTTTCATCATATCGGAACTCAACCGAGTCAAATTGTTTGCTTGCAATTACAGAACATTAAATGCAGAAGTCTACTATCACCTTGAGTTGTTGTTTTTTACTGTCTTGGCATTCCCAAATGCCTCAAGCACTGGATTAGACTGCATGATACAGAATTACATTCATCAAAATTGACATTGTTTTCTGTTTTTATATGCTTTTCAGGGACATAAATTATCATAATGGGTATCACATGAATGCTGAGTAGGAAGTGCATTTTACCTCCAGGACCTGTTGCTCTACTGTTCGGCCCTCCGTACATGATCTCCCACCCATGAAAGCCAAATATCTCATGAGCATCTTTGTGGTCTCTGTTTTACCAGCTCCACTCTCGCCACTAACCAAGATTGACTGGCTTCCCTGGTCATTTATGATTGCCCTGGTATAGACTCAATGACAGCTTCATATCAGTAAACTTCAAAGTAAATTATGACAATGGCACTCAAACTCCTTGCAGATACCTGTAGCAAGCATCTGCGATGGCGAAAAGATGCGGACTTAGCTCACCGAAGGCAGCTCCCTTGTACTGTTCCATCATGTGGACATCATACAGATGTGGAAGCCTCCGAAATGGGTTCACAGCTATCAATATATTTCCAGTGTATGTCTGTCAAAAAAGTTAGTAAATTGTTTCGGTACCAGGTTCCTCTGTCTCTAACTAGTGAGACAATGTTGCTTTGAGGTTGATTAGGAGGAAGAAACATACATATATCTCATTCAGAGCATAGCGGGACGCAAGGTTGTGAAGCACTCCTGGTTCATGGAGGTAAGCTAACTTGGTCATATCATCCACCCCAGCTGGAGGAGCCTCTGTGTCTTTGGGGTATATGCTCGACAGACTAGCCACATCCTGTGCATAGGATCAACAACAATAGTTGTCTTTGATTAGTGTTGAATTACTGTAAGGTGGAGCAAACTATCACATTTTGGTATCAGAATTTGTACACATCAAGCAGATATGAAATGCAGAATATGATGCTATTTGTATCTGAATTGCACAACGAACATCACTGTGACAATTGTTCGGAAATGCAACGAATTCAGAAGAAACTATGTGATCTGGCAAGATCTTAAGCACCAGAGTCACCACAGTACCCCCCTCTTCAAACACAATATATCATAAACTAGATGAATTCGAAGTTTGAAAAATCGTTTATCAAAGAACGCAGTTCACAAACAGTGAGACAAAATAATTTGAATCAAGGAAGTTCAAGATCAGTCGCATTTGTGAGCTTTGAACCACTACATTGTTCTGGCATCATCGATGTATATTCTGGCATTTGTGTTCGTTAGTTTCTTCAGATTTGATATGTTACTGGAAGCTGGTTGCTGATCATTAAGAATAGCAGAGCCAGAGAAATCATTCTGCTTTATTAGATTAACTATTCCAAGTAAAACTCAAATGTTTTCTTTGAAGAATTATTAGTTCTGTCATACGAATCAAGAACGACTTGGAGAAAGAAGAACTGATGCACTAGAAGAAGATCGACGTGACATCCATCATAGACCCAAAAACCAAAGGACTTCCATCAGCCGATTATACTGAACGTCAAACATACAGTTTTCCCATCAGCGGTGGTAATGGTGGCGTCGCCGCCTTTGATCGCCGTGACCTCTCCATCGATCCAAGCGGCCTGGGGATCCTCCACCCACACGTGAGACCCGACGATGATGTTGACCGGAGTCCCCTGGCGGAAAGATCCAAGCAATCAGCCGATGCAGACTCCAAGACAATCCAAGAACAGAGTTCGATGATCCACAACTTACCATAATTCAAGCCCGATACACGTATCGATCATTCAAACACGAAACGCTAACGTCAGAGAAAGGAGAACGAGAGCGAAAGAGAGAGAGAGACTTGTGTGATATCTTTAACGAGAATGGGAAATGAGAGGAGAGACTGCAATGGTCGAGGGGGAGAGGAGGGTCGGGGTTAGGAAAGCAGGGAGGGAACGAAGGTGGTGGGGGTGGTGATGTGGTCGTAAATCAAGAAAAGTTGAGGGGAGAACGAGACAGTCGAGCGCCAACCTATCAGCTAGGCCAGGACGCAGGCTGACGTGGCGGATCGATATGGCGGCGCAGCGGCAGGAGTCGTGGCTTAGTTTTCGCGCGCTGTGGGAGGTTTTGGACTTGGATTCCCTGTTGCGTGAGTAGATTTTGTTGTCGGCGGCGGTTGGATTATCACCGCTGCTTGCTGGATTCGCAGTGAGCCACGGCCACGGAAATCCGAGATCCAAGTAGACTGGATCCCAACTAAAGCCAGCTATGAGCCGAGCCGAGCAAATCTGCCTCCAGGGAGGGAGAGGTTTCCCACATTTAAAGGATGAGGTGGCCCCACCTCTTTAGCCCCTGAGATCTTTTCTGGGGCTGTGACATGTGGTGGCCCCCGGCGAGCCTTTCTGCTCTTCACATCACGGCCGTCGGATCGGACCGTCTCCCATCCCCCGCCCACGTGCTACGTAAGGCGCCGGCTCTGCGTGGCTGGCTGGCTCCCCGCCAGCTTAACCCCACCCAAAATAAAAAGAAAAATAAATAAAAGAAATAGTTTGGGCCTACTCTAAAGCTGCAAGCTTTCCTCAGGAATGAATATATTCTATTGCAGTTTGGTAATTTTGAGGTCTCTAATTGGATGCTGTGTGATTGATTCTCTCGAGTTGTTTTGAGGAATTCATATCTACATTATGGAATCGGTGGACTTTTTCCCTACATATAGTTATGATATTGGATAATTCTATTTAATATGATTGGTTCAATTCCATTAATCGGACATCAATTCAATATATTAGATCCAAGCTTAAGCATGACTAGTCTTTTTTTATTATGAGCAATAGCAATGTACAGCGAAATTAGAAACATTTCTGATGATATCAATTAGATAGTAAACAGAAACGGGAGAAGTGACCAACGCAAACTCAAGATTGCATCTATTCTGAGCTTATCAGATTGCGACCGCATACAGATCATCCTTGAGTTGGGTGCACGGCATGTGCTCAAACACTAAACAAAAGCCTAAAATAAAATTTTCATGATTATGGATGGTGTCATGTGGAAGTGCCGCAAAAGTTTTCATTTATAATCTTTACCTTTCATGAAACCCTAAAAAGGAATATTTTCTCAAATTAAATGTTATGTCTCATTGGACAGCAAAATCTAGTGAATGTAGTGTTAGGACGCTTTGGCAATTAACATGAACTAGAATAATTTCCAATGATGTTTAGTCCTTGTTGTGGAACCAATGTATCACCACAATTGAGTCAGAGGAACCCCACCTAGCAAGCTAGATCTCATCAGTACTCTAAACCAAAACTGATGATCTCATGAAATCGACATAAAATCTCTATTTCTAATTTGATCAGCATATTTTTCCTTTCTTTGGCCAGTCAGCTCATAGGAAAATTAGGTCAACTATCAATTTTGGACTATCACGTTGAAGACTTCGAACAATGAATGTGGAGAAGGGTCGATTTTCTTGCACTCAAAAATTTCATGTAAGCAACACTTTTACTTTCCATAAAGCCAATTCATTATGTAAGCAACACTAACTGGAAATCCTCTGAGCACATTAAAGAATTCCCTGCCAATAGCAACTAGTGAAAAGATTGCTAAAGTGAAATGATGGCTGCCTCCCATCCAGAAACAGGGCATTAGAATCCTTACCTTGTTGTCTTAGATTGTAATGCACTGCCAACAAAGACTCATTGTTGCTTTTGGATTAGAGTTGTGAAAAGCATTACCTTTTCATAAAGGGGTCAGAAAAGCAGTGCTTGACCTGCTCTTACATGGCAAAAGGAGCATGTTCTCCTAATCCAACCATTTATTCTCTAGCATCCAGTGTTTATATATATACACATGCTTACCGATACATGAGGGAGAGCAGGAAGAATGAAACATGTAAGCAGAAGGTAAAATTTCTCTTTTTTTCCCCCAGAATAAGGTAATAAACAAAGGAGTTAGCAGGAGCTCCCCCAGAACAGGTTCAGGTATTGCCTAAGGCAAGCAGTGTGGTCATTGAAAGAAGTAATGGGGTCACGATGACATGATACGGCATGATCACAAACCAAAAGTCTGATACAAGTTAGGAATCTAGGCTGGACCCAATAGCTGCTATTTTATAAGCTGTTGAATCATTCAACCCACGGCCAATTCAGTGCTCAATCATACTCTCAGTGTTCTGCATCTATTGTCTATAGTTTCCATGTTTTGAAGCGCGAACAAGATCGAAGAGAGAAGAACTAGGAATGCAAATGCAATCCCGAGGAGAGTAGCCGAGAGTAGAAATGGCAACAAAAAGGAGAGGATGGAGTGAAGAGGAAGGCTCCATCACACTACCACTAAACACAGGAAGGCCCATGTCCAACTACCACAAGCTGTGGGACAATCGGCAGGTCACCGAAACACAGTAATGCCGTCATTACCAGTGAGCCATCAGTTGGATTCGCAGCAGTGGCGCGGACGAGAGAGCGTGCACCGACATGATCCGAAGGCGAAATAGCACACGGTTGTCGACCATGGAAGGACTGGCGCTGTATGCCCTCTAAATCCTGGGATTTAGCTTCATCTCCACCCTGAGATGATGATATTGTTCTTGCGAAGAATCGAGTTCGAGTGAACACCATGGAAATCAAGGACCGAGTCAAGAACCATTTTATCTTCGTAGGATCCACCATGGATGTGATGCTGCAGTCATGCTTATTCGATCTTGTCATCACCACTAGTTAAGGACCGAGTCGATAATCCCTTTTTGCTCCTCTGCATCAGCAATCATTTTATCCGATCTTGTCAGGAGAAAAACACCTTCGACGTGAAAACATTGGAGAGGATGACTATTTAATTACTGTAAGGAAACAAACGATGAATAACCATGGAAAGTAAAGACAGCGAGAAAAAGCCATCTCTCAAGCTTAGCAGCAATACGGACTCCACCACCACATGCTTCCTTGTCGAGATAAACCGGTGGGGTTCTTTCCGTCTACTGAGAATTTACACAGCAAAGAAACTAGCAAGATGGTCAGTGACTAAACTATTTAAGCCGAGACAGAAAAGGGAAGGCAGTAAAAGCTGCATCATGTCAGGCTGGATTCTCCCATTTGTTGGCTATCTGCAGGAAGACGTGAGCAAAAACTAATTTGTTCTTGTCTATTCCATTTATGTTTCGAGTGGACAACAGGACAAGTCCCCAAAGCCAAGTAGTGGTCATGTCAGACAATAAAAACTCGAAACCATTAGAGTTAGTAGAAGTCTTTACGTTATGTAAAAGATACTC